TTTTTTTTTTTTAGTAGATACGGGGTTTCACCGGGTTAGCCAGGATGGTCTCGATCTCCTGACTTCGTGATCCGCCCGTCTCGGCCTCCCAAAGTGCTGGGATTACAGGCTTGAGTCACCGCGCCCGGCCTGAATATAACACTTCTAAGAACTTACAAAAATATTAGAATGCTATTAATCTATTGTTTTTGCTTCAGTATGTCCTTCTGCTTGCGAGTATACTAAAGAGAACAGTTATAATTCTGAAACTACTGTCCTGTTTGTGTCATAAATTGCTTCACATGTTTCTGCATACTACTAATTACTCAGCTTGATTCTGTCTATTTTCAGCACCAACTGAGCAAAGCCCTGTGGTCCAGGAGTGCTACCATGGTAATGGACAGAGTTATCGAGGCACATTCTCCACCACTGTCACAGGAAGGACATGTCAATCTTGGTCATCCATGACACCACACCAGCATAAGAGGACCCCGGAAAACCACCCAAATGAGTATGTCTTTGGTGTCAGTTATAAGAGGAGCAACAGCCAACTTAAGTTTCTCTTAGAAGAGCCATGCTTCAAGCTAACTTGTTAGGACCAAATTTCCCTTAGACCCAGAAGGTGTGGCAAAATGTCCAAACAACCTTGCTTTTGATAAAAGAGTCTGAGAGAAGAGATATTTTAGGCTTGCTATCTTTTCTAATAGTCTGATGGAAGCAGAAGGCTATATGGAGTTGATGAGGTCTTGCTAATGTAAAGCTCAGGAGATCAAATGATCAAATAGTTAGAGTGCCATTCTACAGTGTTCATGAAAGATCAGTGCAGTCTTTCACGCATGCAATTCTATCATTCTAACTTCCTTTCCCTGAAATGAAGGTTGTGTTCACCATTTTTGTCATGGGTCACAAGTAAATAATTCATATGTATATGAATATATATATAGAACCAGGTGTGTTCATTCAGACTAGTATTTATATATATATTCATATAGGTTAGTATTCGTGTATATGTTCATACAGACTAGTATTCATATATATATATGGTCTAAGGAAATGTGCAAAGTTTTCATGTCTGTCCTTGACTGATGACCAAATACCCTATAGCCTGCACAGCTGCAGACTGTATAGCCATACAATTTGCAGGACACACACACACACATATTAATATAATATAACATATATAAACCTGTGTGAACACACTGGGTTCTAAGCTCCAGTTTTCTGAAGGGATATGGGTTGCCAGGACAGGAAGAGCAAAAGCAAGAATGTAGATGAGAGTGAGGAAATAAACAGATATGGAGATTAAAATGGGCAGGTACATGGACAAAAAACCAGGTCGAACAAAAACTGACTTTCTGCCATAAATGACTATAAAAGATATATATAAAAAAAACTTTCCACATGTTGAAATGAATGAGCACAGCTCCATAACTATTCTAACTTTCTTCCTGGAGAACCTTCCTGAACTGAAGGGCAAGAAGTTGGAGCCAAAGCCAACCATAGCAGTTTTGCTGAACTGAGGAAAGAGACTAGAGTTTGGAATAGCTAAGAAAATGTAGATTTTCTAGGCTAGGTAATAATGAGAAAGAATTTGTGGTGAAAAGGAGCTGAAGGAATATGCATGGAAGTCTCCTCAAGTCTAATATAAACTGCATGTGCACAGGGAGAAATTCTACAAAGTAGGACAGAGAACCACTATGGGGGAAAGGACAAATTCAGGGAAACAGTGAGCTCAATGGAGATGCCAGAGCTCATGTAGCACTGAGGGGTATTGGAGTTCTGATCAGCTCAAGGAGAGATATCTCATTGAACATCTCGGGCATTCAGTAGAGACCCCAGAAAAGTCATACTTTAGGAGTAGGATTTATGCCTTCTTAGAATAAAGGCTACTCCAGAAACACCCTAGTAAAGCTTAAAAACCAAGTCTAAAAGGACCCAAATGATCTCCAAGTAAATTAACTGCCTGACAGAAGAAATCTCAACCATCACTGGAGGTAATTAACTTGATACGGTGCTCTGTAATGTGGCATTCACAATGAGTGGCATATATTTAAAAATTTGTGAGGCAGAAAAAAGCAAGTAGTGTGATCCATAACTAGGAGAAAAACTAGTCAATATGAATAGACCAAGAAATAGTAGAAACGATGGAATTGACAAAGAAATTAAAGCTGTGTATATATGATAATTGTGTTCAAAGATTTGAAGAAAACATGAACATGAGAGAAACAAATGCAGAATATCAAGAAAAAGCAAACACATAAAACAACCAAATGGAAATTAAAGAACTACAAAAAAGTGTAACCTTAATAAAATACGCATTGGATGGCCTTACTATCAGTTCATACATCACAGAAGAAAAAGTGAACTAGAAGATAACTCAATGAAAGCCATACAATCTGTAAGACACACACACATACATACACACACACACACACACACACACACACAGAGAGAGAGAGAGAGAAGCTGAAAAAAATAAACAGAACCTCAAAGATATCAGTGAAAATATCAAAAGATTTAATATATGGGTAAAGCAAGTCACAGAAGGACAGGAAAGAGATATTGGGACAGAAAAAAATACTCAAAGCAACGACGGCTGAAGACTTTACACATATGAAGAAAATGATAAACTCACAGTCAAGAAGCTCAATGAATCAGAAATAGTATTTTTAAAAGCAAAACTCTATGATTTACTTGGGTACATCACAGAAAAATCATCCAACATCAAAGATAACAAGGATAATCTTATAAACCAGAGGAAAACAAGATCATTTACGTAGAGGAACAGTAATGCAAATGACTGATGCCTTCTCCTCAGAAACAATGGGATAACATTAAAGTGATAAAAAGAAATAAAAGCAGATCAACCTAGGACGACATGTCCAGCCAAAAACAAACAAACAAACAAAAATTTTTAAAAACCCTTTAAAATAAACGTGATGTAAATATATATTCTGCCACCTCCAGAGGAAACAAGCAAAAAAACAAAGGAAAGTTTGCACAGCAGGCTTCTGTATTAAAAGATGTTAAGGAAAGCTATTTAGGAAGAAGAAAAACAATACCAGATGGAAACTTTAATCCATACTAAGTCACGAAGAGCCCTGGAAATAGCAAATGTCGATGTCAATATGAAATACTTTTATTTATCTAATTTTTAAATTTATTTAAAGGACAATTTGTGATGTTAATTAAAATAATAGGGGTATATTGTTGTTTCAATATATGTAGTAGTAAAATTCATAAAAGACAGTAGCAAAAATAATGCAGAGGATAAATTGAAGCATACTGTTAATGAGTTTTTTGCATTATCCATGAAGTTATATAATATTAATACATGATTGAATGTGATAGTTTAAGGTAGGATATTATAAATCCTAGGGCAACCACAAAAATTTAAACTGAGAGGAATAGATAATAAGAAGAATAGTCCTTTTATCCAAAAGAAGGAAGGAAAAGAGGAATGAAGAATATAAAAGATATGATGTAAACAGAAAATACATAGCATTATGGTAGACATAAACTGAACCACATTTTAAGCATATTAAATGTAAAAGGACTAAGCATTACAAATAAAAGGCAGAGACTGTAAGTTGAATAAAAACCACAGTCTAAGTGTGTTCTTTCTAGAATAAATACTCTTTAAGTGTAAAGATCTACTTTAAACATTGAAATATGAAAAAGGATATATACCATGAAAACCTGAATCATAAATAAGCTGGAGTGGTGATGAATGGATGCAGGCACTCTAAAGACTAACAAGTGAATGTGGTGAAATCGAAGAAACAAAAGTATATACATGCTCAATGTACAAAAACGGTTTTTCTGTATACTTTCTATGATCATTTGGAAAATAAAAAGTCTTAAAGCAATATCACTGATAATAGTATCAAAATCAAAAAATATTTAGTGATACATTTTACACACTATGCTCAAGGACTATAGACCTTGCACTAGAAAACATTGTTGAGGAAAGAATTAAAAGATCTAAATAAAGATACACCATGCTTATAGATTAAAAAACTCCATGTCACTTCTCGTGAAATTGATCTTTGGATGAAACCCACACCCAAGCACTATTGCAGCAGTCCTTTTTTGGAAAAAAAAAATGGAGGACTCACATACCTTAATATAAAGACATATAAAAATACAAGAATTAAGACATATGGTATTGGCCAAGCCCCTTGACTCATGCCTGTAACCCCAACATTTTGGGAGGCTGAGGCAGGAGGATGGCTTGAGCCCAGATGTTCAAGACCAGCCTCAGGAACAGAGAGAGAGAGACCCTCTCTCCACAAAAAATAAACAATTAGATGGATGTGATGACTTGCACCTGTAATTTCAGCCACTCAGGACGCTGAGGGGAGAGGATGGCTTGACCCAGGAGATCTAGGCATGAGTGAGCCTTGATCATGCCCCTGCATTCCAGCCTGGATGATGGAATGAAACTCTGTCTCAAACAAAAACAAAAACAAAACAGGGTATGTATTACTGTCCAAAAGAGTATGAAAACCTAAAAAGGGATGGTCCAGCACCAGACCCACATACATTTATGGTAAATTGATTTTCCATATAGATGGCAAAGCAATTCAATGGAGACAAAAATATTTTACAAAATCATTCGGAACCATTTGGATATCCATGACACAAAACAAAAGCAGAACTTGACTTTTGCCTTTCATCTCAACTTATTTTGAGATATCTCTTCCACCTAAGTGTCAGAGCTGAAACTAAACCTGAAATAGGAAAGTTCCATGAGAAAATATAAAATCTTCACAACCTTGTAGAAGGCAAACTTTTTTGAGGCAGAAGTCGGTAAACTCTCACTATAAAAGAAAACAAATTATGATGTGGGTTTTCATGACAACTCATGCTCACCAAAAGTCATTGTTATGAAAATAATTAGGCAAGTAACATATGAGAAGAAAAATGCTCTCTGTCCATATATCTGACAAGCGGCTTGTGTCCAGAATATAGGAACATTTCTCTCACTCACTAAACAGATGACAAACAACTTATGGGCAACAGATTGAATAGGCATTTCTTGGGGACAGATTGATGTACACATAGCTGATAAGGACCTGAAGAAAATGTCCAATATCTCAGCCGTGAGAAATAAACAATTATAATCATCATAATATGTCACCAAACACCCAAGGGACGTGGATATCATTAAGAAGACACCACAAACAGTGGTGTCACTGATGTGGAGTGAGGATGTGCAACTCTCTCTTATACTGGTGGAAGTGCAAAATGAAACAACCACTTTGGAAATCAGTCTGATGCTTTCTCCAAAAGTTCAATAAATGCACATTTACCCTACAAACCTGCAATCCTATTCCTGAATATTTACCCCATGGAGATGGAAACATAAGTCCATAAAGACATCTACAAGAATATTCATAGCAGCTTTATTTTTATAACCCCAAACTGTAGACAACTTCAAAATCAATAAGAAAATGAATAAATAATTTGTGATCTAGTCACACAATGGAATACTATTCAGCAATAAAAGGGAGCACATTATTGATACTCTCAAATAGCATAGATGAAGCTGAAAAATACTAAGTTAAGGAAAGATACCAGATAACAAAAATGAACATTATGTATGAGTCTATTGATGTAAGGTTCCAGAAAGGTAAAACTAATTTCTGGTGAAAGAAACCAATATCATTTGCCTCTGGCCATGGGAAGAGAGTAGCAGAGACTGAGCAGTAAAACAAAGTTGTTCTGGAGTGATGTAAATGTCCTGTATCATGACTGAAATGTGAGTTACACAAGTGTACATGTTCATCAAAATTCATCAAACTACATCTAAGATCTGTGCATTTGACTATACATGAAAGTGTATCTCAGTTGAAAATAGATCAAAAATCTCCCTAGAATACTACACTTGCTAACACATCCAGTTGCTTGGAGAATCAGCTTGCTGGAATGGGGACTCTAGGCTTGAGACTGGGTTACCATGTGTAGAGTCTCTACAGAGACAGTGTTGCATTCCCATGGTACGTAATACATTTCAAGTTTTCTCAGATAGCCACATATCATGAATGTGAGGATTCTGAGAGGTTGGAGCAACATTCCTGGGAGGAATGAAGGGAAGCACATTTTCCAAGATGCCCCTACACCGGGGTCCTCACTGGCTGTGATTTTTTCTTTTTCTTTTTCTTTTTTTTTTTTTGAGACAGAGTCTCGTTCTTTCACCAGGCTGCAGTGCAATGGTGCAATCTCGGCTCACTGCAACCTCCGACTACCGAGTTCAAGTGATTCTTCTGCCTCAGCTTCACGGGTAGCTGGGACTGCGGGTGTGTGCGTCACTGCCCTCAGCTAATTTTTGTATTTTTAGTAGAGACGGGGTTTCACCATGTTGGCCAAGATGGTCTTGCTCTCTTGACTTCATGATCCACCCACCTTGGCCTCCCAAAGTGCTGGGATTACCGGCCTGAGCCACTGCGCCCAGCCTGTGCCTCTTACTCAATTGTTTTCTGACCCCTCCATAGCCGATGGACCTTTTCAGATCCCATGGTCTACCCAGCCATCTCACTTTATGCTTTGGGTCCCACTGTTCCTTCGTCTCATCCCCCTTCTCTCAGTCCTGGAGTTGCTGTGGCCAGTGGAGGATGGGCTGAGAGCAGGAGAGGAGATCCTGCCCAGGAACCAATCCTAGACAAAGAGTATCATATCTGGGAGCTAGTTTTCCAGGACAGCTTTTATAAGTTTTGTAGACTCAAACCCACTTGACCCAACTAAAAATGTATTGACAGTAATACTATTTTCATGGTTGTTTTTCATTGTAAATGCAGAGCCTTTTAGCTACACGATGAGTACAGACAGCAAGGGAGGCTGGCCTGGGAATGATATCATCTTGGATGGCATTTCCTCCTTGGAGAAATATATGTTAGTTCCAAATCACATGTTATTATACAGTCCTATAGAAAGAGATAAAGAGAGCTAGACAGATATAGATGCATTTGTATGTGCATAACAATCTATAAGACACACGTCAAAATTCGTACCAATTCCTCCAGGGGTATGTGCTTGGCAGAAGGTAGAAGGAGGGTATTCTGGTTCCTTTCTTTTGCACATTTATGTATGATCTCAGTTTTTATATGGAGTGTTGATATGGTTTGGCTATGTCCCCACACAAAATCTCATCTTGACTTGTAATCTCTATAATCCTCATAATCCCCATGTATCAAGGGCAGGACCAGGTGGAGGTAATTGGATCATGGGGGCAGTTTCTTCCAAGCTGTTCTCATGACAGTGAGCAAGTCTCCTGAGATCTGATGGTTTTGTACATGTCTGGCATTTCCCCTACTTGCACTTACTCTGTCCTGCCAGCCTGTGAAGAAGGTGCCTGTTTCTCCCTTGCCTTCTGCCATGATTGTTAAGTTTCCAGAGGCCTCCCCAGCAATGTGGAACTGAGTCAATTAAAACACTGTTCTTTGTAAGTTACCCAGTCTGTCTCAGGTATTTCCTCATAGCAATGTGAGAATGGACTAATACAAGCATATACTACTTTAGATATTTTAAAATAAAAATTATCATCTATCTTTGAAAGGCATGCACAAATGGGAAGATTAGGAACATTTCTGTTGTGGCAATTGTGTTACCTTTAATGGAAATATTTCAAAGTCACTTGTTAAGACTTTGTTAGAACAAAATGTAGAGGCTGCTGGGTGTCCTTGAATATTCTTCTGCCTCCTCTAACTTGTATTACTTTGGAATTTCCAGTGGTTTGACAATGAACTACTGCAGGAATCCAGGTGCTGACACAGGCCCTTGGTGTTTTACCATGGACCCCAGCGTCAGGTGGGAGTACTGCAACCTGACGCGATGCTCAGACACAGAAGGGACTGTGGTCACACCTCCGACTGTTATCCCGGTTCCAAGCCTAGAGGCTCCTTCTGAACGAGGTAAGAAGTCTGTGTCCAGACATCTATGTGCTTGGACAATGGGATGAAAAGACGTGAAAAACCACACTGATGCAGAAGCCTTTAGAGCTACACAGGAGCTCGAGTGTTAGTTGAGGGTCTGCCATGCCCAAGGAAGCCTCAGTGCCGTCCCTGGGAAAGCCAGGGCTGTGACTTTTGGCACCACTTGTGGGACTAATGACTTTAAGACTGGCGCAAAACCTCCAGGGTGCTCAACTTAACCACTCACCTTGTTCTAAAATGGGTTATGTCAGTGTCCCAAATTCCTATTTTAACATGCTGTCAAGTGTGTGATTCTTTCCAAGCCAATAAGCATTTCCAGTAATTTCTTAAAATAGACAGTGTTTGTTGCAGTCTTCAGCATTGTGGCTCCTGAGGAATGTGGCCCCTCAATCTGTCAAACTAAAGAAACCTGTCATGACTGCATTGATTCCGTATCGTCCTGGGTCTATGTGGCTGCCTGGCTGTCTGTAATCATCTGTTTGTTTTGTGTTGTTTTGTTTTCTACAGACTGTATGTTTGGGGTTCCTCCTCATTGCTCTGAGACTCTTATTGGGACTTTGAGTCTTGGATCAGGGGAAGCAGAGTTGACATTAGATCTTAAATGATTGGGATAACAAATCCATGGGGGGAAAAAAGCCACTTGTACTTGTCCCCTATTTTCTTTCTGCGGACCAATCAACTTGTCTATCCAAGTTACAGAACACCCTGGACTTTTCCTTTGTGTAATTTGGTTGCTTGTGGTTGGTCTGACATGTGAAGGGACCTTGAGCTGGGGAAGCAGCTTGGCCTCCAAGTCCACTGATGACCAGCACCCTGAGATTGCCTAGGGAGGTGGCGCAGGGCAGTGATGAAGATCATGAGAGCCACACTGCCCGTCATCACATTTGGGCCACTCCTGGGGAGAGCAAGAGGGAAGAAGGAGAGGTTAGGATGGTAGGAAAGATTCTACTTGGCCAGTATTATTGTAATGTGGCATAATGTTCTCTGGATTTAGTGTGAGTTGATAGTTGACTTTTTCCTTGATTGGGTGTTTTTGTCTGTTCTGCAGAAGCATCTTGGTGGCTCCTCTACCTCAAAGTCCCTTGACGGGGTCGGTTCCATTTCTCCACTTCTGGCCCAGTCTGGTATACGCCGCTGACTCTCACTTCCCAGGCTCTCTATCGTTGACAGGCTGCCTTGAATTTAAGCCCAGTCTGACTTACCTGCCTCAGACATCCATGGTAGTGCCTGGGACTCATGCACCTTTGACTCCCATGGAAGGGAAGTGCAGTAGCTTCCCAGGTGCAATTCTGGTGTCCTCACCCACATTGAGGATGTATGAGAATCAGGTTCTTAGAGACTGGAGAAAGAAGCAAGAATGGGAACAAGATTTTTCCCAATGGACTGTGAGATTCCCCACCTTGCCTTGATGTAAGACAAGTGAGGTTAACCCCAAGCCTGGTGAGAAGGGTTCCCACCAGACACTGGGAAATCCTGAGGATGGTTTCCTGCAGAAAGATGTGGTTGGTGGGATAGTCAGGTTTGACTCGTGCTTGAGAAAGTTAGAGCCTCTGGTTGGAGAAAGAGTTTCATAACTATTTCATTTCCACCAACACATTCAGCACAAATAATAAATAAGTAAAAATAAATAGAAACATTCAGTTTTATTTTGAATAGTAGGAATAGGGTATCATCATTTCTGTAGTTACTCTTTTAGTACAGTGATACATATCTACTGTGTGTAAGGCATACTAGCAGAAATTGAGCTCAGCACTAGAGAAGACAATTGCATTCCATGCCATGCTTCTTTTTTACGAAAGACTTCTGTAGATAGATTCTCAAAACAACCCATGGCAAATGAAAAGTTATTTGGAAAACTCAGGTTCCAGATTCACTGGAGTGTAGAATCTCTGATTGGTTGGGGAGGAATTTCCTCTTGCAGTTGTTATTAATAATTATATGAATAATTATTAACTATATTAACATTTATAATTTTGAAGACCTTGAAGGGCTAGAGACAACAGAGAAACATTTTTGAACACCCTTTGTAGCCCCTGCAGTGTTGTAGACATTGGTGGGTGGTGCCAAAGATAGGACACTGTCCCTACCTCCACAGACCTTGCAGGCTTGCTGCAGAGAGAAGGCAGGGAGGAGGAAAAGAATAGAGGCACATGTGTGTAAATCACCCCCACAGTAGTCGGTTAGTCATGGGAGGCTCCCCAGAGGAACTGTCCTGAAGCTGGCTGAGAGAAGGCAACATTTCAACATAGGACAGTTACCCTTGCTACGTAAAATCACGTACACACATGCACACATGTGTACACAGAGACTCACATGCAAAAGAATCATTCATGCCTTTCAGTAAACTTTACATGGTTTAGATGATGATGGTGATGATGACGGAGATGATGGAAAGAATGACATCATGTTCTAAACATATTACATCGAGTCAGAATAACAATGAGAAATAGCTATTTGTACCAATCAAGGTCTTCTCAGAAAATATCTCATTCTAATGCCGAACTATACCAATTTCTTTAATCACTTCTCCAACAAAATAGTTAGAAGGTGCTTATATTTCCTTGAAAGGAGAGTGTCCTGTGTTGTTTACTACCACTTTTTAAACTTGGAAAGAAAAATCTAAAAAGTGTTTATGATTTTACTATTTAATTTCACCTTTGAGATGTGAAAAACTAGCGCTTGGAATTCGTCCTGAATTAAACGACACAATTGCTAACTTGGACTCCAAGGTGAATTCTTTCCCACCTTGTGCCACAGCATCCTCTTCATTTGATTGTGGGAAGCCTCAAGTGGAGCCAAAGAAATGTCCTGGAAGCATTGTAGGGGGGTGTGTGGCCCACCCACATTCCTGGCCCTGGCAAGTCAGTCTTAGAACAAGGTAAGAACAGGCCCAGAAACCATCTATACTGTCCTTCCACATAGGCCCCACAAAACCCTTCTACATTTACCCAGAACCCACACAGCTGAGGCATCAGTTCCTGCCTCTATGTTTTCTGAAGGAGGAAAAGATATAGAAAAATAAAAAAAATTATATTATCCTAAGTTCTCTGCTTTGAAAACAGCCAAAATTGTCATCTTTGAGGGTTCCTATGAATATCCATTGTCTCACTGTCAGATGAAAAGAAAGGGAAGTTTTTAGAAATGTGACACTTTGCAGTGAGAGAGGACAAGAGCAAACTTATCTACAGTCTATCACAGGCACAGATTTTTTTAAACACTTTTGTGAATCATTGAATTCAATGCCGAGGCTACTCATCTATTCACAAACACATGAACAAATTATAGGTCGTGATCCCCATCAATTAAGATTGATTAGTCCGATCCCACAGAACCTGGACCTTCTGGGTATCACTTCAGTGGAACATGCCTTTCATAAGTTCAGTTTTCTTGGGTATCTCTTAGGAAACAGGCCGCTGTTCTCCCCTAAAGAGACTTCCTTTCACAGGTTTATGAAATGCCATCGACAAACCTGATCACATTGCATTTCACTCTGCTGTCGATTTGATTTTTCTTTACTTTATTGGTTAGAAACTCCCTGCTCTATGGAGCTTTCACCTTCCACATATTTCAGATTCATTCTTTCCTAAACTGTGTGGTGGTCGATGTCCTCATGGATTTATCAACGTGCTGCCATCATGCACTTTTTATCTGTGCTCTTCATTACAATCTGTTTCCGAGTGGCTCACACCATTATTCTGAGCTATCACCTGCCTACGCAGTCCTAGAAAGCAAGTGATTCAAGAAACATCCCCCAAAAGTAAAGG